CAACATGGCGGTTCTGAGGCATGTTCTTCACAGTTCCTCAAAAGATACCCCACAAGTTTTATCCCAGATGCCCATAGAGTAGCCAGCCTGGCCACAGGCTCTCTTGAGTTTTCTTCCCTTTTGGTCTCTCTGGTCCTCACTTTACCTCCTGCAATTACTTTCCATGTAACTCCTTGCTTCTAAGTGTGAACTCCAGGCTCTGGCCCAGGATAACTCAAACTCCAACAAACCCTCGAGGTTGGGTCTACTGTGACGAAATGACTTGTTGACCAAGTCACTCCAGCTGAGCCTTCTCCACCTGAGGAAGTAGAAGAGAAGTCAGCTGGTGGTGGTGTGAGTACATAGCTAACCCGGTTGTTTGAGTGATCTGGTGCTCCGGTGTTTAATTTTAATGCAATGAGAGGATGGGTGTTGCTCAAGCTGACTCTTCCTTGCTGAACGTCTCCCCTCTCAATGTGAACCTCCGCTGGGAATCTCTCACAGTCAGGACTCTCCCTTTATTCAGTCCTGACTGTGGGCTGCATGGCTCCAGCCATCCCAGGGGGTGGTCAGTGCTCCCTGAGAACAATTGGGATGTCTAAATCCTCCCTTCCACCAGCCTCTGTTCTCTGAGTTCTGTCCCAAAGAATGACGTTACTCCTGTGGCTGTCTGGTTCTTTGGCTGGAAACAGAAATCTCTCATGTTCTCTTCTGGCCAGTGAAAGAAATAGCCACCTCCTTAAAGAGCAAGAGGTGACAGGGTTATGCCAAGACTAATTCCTAAACTCAGCCCATTGCCCAAGAAGTGAGTGGCACTGGTCATAAGTGAGTCAGCAAATGCTATCTACCCCTAGGGTAATGCCATAGTGGTTATATCAATGGGTGATGCATGGGGGATGAATAATTTAAATTTTTTCTAGCTTTCTTGAGGCATTATTTACCTGTGGTAAAATGCAGGCATTTGAATTGCACAACTGTGCACTATACCACACTATATTGTACATTGTGATGAGTGTCAGTAACTGTGTGTGGTAGTCACTACATTAATATATGGGACACTTCCACCCCCTAAGCTTTCCTTGAGTTGTTTGGCAGTTGATCTTCTCTCATGATCACCAGTTCCTGTCCATTAACTGATTACCTTTATGCCACTGTAGCTTTGCATTTCTGGAGTTTTATATTGGATTTCTCATTGCTGGACACAGTACCAAACACCCACCACCTAAAAGAGCAGAGGTTCAATGTGGCTCACAATTTCAGGACACTCAGCCCGTGGTTGGCTGGATCCAAGGCAGAAACATCATGGCAGAAGGACTTGGAAGAGTGAAGCGGCTTAGTTCATGGTGACCAGGAAGCAGAGCAAGACAGCAGCCTGGGAAGAAGGACGAGGGACCAGATAGTGCCCAAGTTAGGCCTGCATAACCCACAGACACACCTAGGTGAGTGCTTTACAGATCCCTTGGGTTGATCCCAAGCCAGGCAAGTTGTCACAATGATTAACTGTGACAACTTCCACATGAAAGAATCAACACCATGGTGTTTGTTTGTTTGTTTGTTTGACTTCTTTCACTCAGCCAGAATGATTATATGCTCCATCCACACTGTTGCTTGTGTTACTATTTTGCTTTTCTTTATCGATCAGTAGCTTTCTTAGCATGGAGATCCCAGACCTATTTATTCATTCATCAGCATGGGTAACTGAGTTGTTTCTACTTCTTGGTTGTCTGAATAATGTTGCCAGGGGCATTTGAGCCTCTGAGTATATGCGGGATTCATTTTTCTTAGGTAACTACTTAGCTATGTGTGGATTGCTGGGTCACATGTAAGTGTGTGTACCATACTGCCACATGGTTTGCTAGTATTTGTATCAATTTTCCTTCCTGTCTGGAGTACATGAGAAATCCTGTTGCTCCCTAACCTCACTAACACATACATAGAGAATCTTTTCAACCTCAGCCATTCTAGTAGGAGTGCACTGCCATTTCTGTATGGCTTAAATTTGCATTTTCCAATGAATAATAATTTTTCTAGACCATGTGTGGAGCCCTTTTTTATGTGCTTATTTTCTAGCTAAAATTGCTGCTAAGTAATATCCTAAAATATTCTCAGGGAATGCACCGGGCTCTAAGGTGGATGTTATTGCCCCTAACTTGCGGATAAAGATCTGAGGCCTTTAGTCTGCTCAGTGGCCGATCTGTGTTCCTTCTGGCAGAGAAAGGCTGAAGCTTCCTAGGACAGGGCTTCCTACCCGGCAAAAGCTCCATGTATGGGGGCTGGAGATTTAGCTTAGCGGCACAGCGCCTGCCTGGCAAGCGCAAGGTCATGAGTTCAATTCCCAGTACCAGAAAAGAACAAACAAAAATAAAAACACACAAAAGACAAACGCTCCATGTTTGCCACGGCTGCAGGTAGACACTCTTGGTGGCCTCAAACTGGGACAGATGGGTGGCTCATTTTGACATTAATATTTTGTTATATTTTAACATCAAGTATTTGGCATTGCCAAGTGTTTTGTTCTTTCAAGCTATTGATCCTCTAAAGTTTTTAGCAGATTTAATAAATGGCATTATCTCACGCTTAATCAAGTTTTCCCCTCTTTCCATGTCCTGCTTGGTTTTGCAGGAAGGAAACCTCCCGCTTATTTTCTCTTGTTCTGAGAGCGTGGGACAAAGACCCATGTCACTCAATTCTCTGTCCCTTTCTGTCCTCGTAGTGCAAGTCTTTTAACTAAAAGGTCTAGATCCCCATGAAAGCAAAGACCCAAAGTGTACCAGAAAGCAGAGATGAGTCATTTGTGACCCGACTCCTGCAGGCTGCCGGGAGGGGTTTGGAGGAGCACAGGGTGAGGAGTGAATGCTGCATGCAGGAATGAGGTCAAAGATGGGAAGCTATGGGGCTTCCCAAGCCAGCCCCTTGGAAACACAGACAGGAGCAGAGGCAGGTGAGACCTGATCCACGGGAAGGCAGCCGGGAGCGCTGAGACTCTGGTGAAGAGAATTTCCTGTCCGTCTCGGTTCTCCGTTATCTCCGTGCTTGTCATTTCTTGTCTATTTCTCTGTGTTTTTTAAAGAAATACTCTACAGTAGTCCTATGGGGTTGTCCTTGGAAGCATAGGCGGTCCTGGGAGACGGCCGATCCTAGCGAAAGAGAAGGCTTTGGAAGGCAAAAAGAAACGCGAGCTTCAGGACTTGTGGCAAGACAGAGCCGCTCAGTGACGTGGCTGTGGAGAGTGGCCACCGCCCCAGTTGTGTGTGTGGCACAGGAATGCGTGCGCAATCCATGTGCACATGTGTGTAGGGCAGGCATGAGTGCACAGGAATACACACACGCATTGTGAAGTGTGTGCTTGCACACATGTTGCTGCATGTGCACCTGTGTGCCTATATGTGTGAGTCCCTCAGGCTCGTGGCATGCGTGCACTGTGGTGTGTGTACACCCACACGCGTGACTGTGTGCATGTGCCTGTGGTGGTGTGTGAGCAGTGTTTGTATGTGGTGTGGTCCGTGTGAGTGCTGTGTGTGAATGTGGTGTGCCACGTGCACATGAGTGTGTGTGTGATGTACAGATGAGTGACATCTGTGTGAGTGTGTGCATGCTTGTGTGGTGTGTGTGTGCGGTGTGTAGTGTGTGATGTGAGATGTTCTGAGGAGTGAAGGGAAAAGGCATCACTTTGTTCTCATTGTTTGTTTACTTTTTGGAAAAAAAATGAATTAAATTCAATTAATTAATTAAATTTATACACCGAAAAGTTGTTCTTTTGCAGTACTGGGTATTGGACACAGGGCTTTCCCACTGCAGTGGCTGACAGCTGGTGGTCAACTTGTAACCCCCAGCTGAACTGAGTAAGCGTGGTGCTGGGTGTGGGAGACCCACCTGAGGATGGTTGCCGGCAGCATAGAGGCAAACCTGAAGAAGTAAGGCTGTTCGGAGCTGAGAAAAGACTGTTGGGAGCTGGTAGAAGCTATAAGTAGCTGTTGGTTCTGTTGGGGGAGCTTGTCATGCTGGCTTTCCTGATGAACTTGGCTGTTTTCATCCTCCGAGGAGCTCGGGACCTTTTTGGCACTGAGAATATCTTCGGTTCACATTGGGGGAGCTCTGGTCCTCACTCTGAGCATCACTTCCTGGCTCCAGAGGGGAAGATGGTGCACTGCCGGTCTCCTGGAGAAGCTTGTTGCACTGGCTTTCCTGATGGGAATTTGGCTTTCCTGATCATCAGAGGAGCTCAGGACTCACTGTTGCTGAGGACGGCTATGGTGCCTTTCGGGGGAGCTCTGATTCTTCTGAGCATCGCTTTCTGGCTTCAGTGCAGATCCCTCAGCCTGCTAGCACAGATCCTTCATCCTGCTGGCACAAACTTTCTATATTCCACCACTGACCTTTGGGCCATCCCAGCGCATATCCATGAAACAGGCCTGCATGAGATGTCATGGTCGGTGGACCTCCAGTTGGATTCGTGGGAGGCATTGTTACGGGCTCTGGGTCTTCAGCTGGAGTCATGCAGGACATTTCCGTGGGATCCAGGCCCTCAGCTGGATTCCTTGGTCTTGGTGTGTGGACAGATTTCCTGCAATCTTTTGTATATCGTTCTCTGGGTGACTATTAGAAATAATCTTGTAAAATATGTGTCCTGTATTACATTGTTCCCCTTAAAATAACCCCAAACCAGCACACCCACTAAGTGAAATCCCGAGTCTTTTTCTTATTTTGACACAGGGTCTCACCAAGTGGCCGAGTTACCCAGGCTGGGCATGGGCTTGTGATCCTCCTGCCTCCGCCTCCTGGAGTGCTGAGATTACAGATGTGCACCGCCCATGTGGCTGAGAACCCTTTTTCCTGAGGACAGAGGAGGAAGGGTCAAAGGTGCCGTTTCCCAGACAGGAACAGACCGGTAAAAAGGGACACACAAACCTCCCTCCCCTGTGTTCGCTTTCACACCTGCATCGGTGGACGCCGTGCTTTGTGTCACTTAGAACTGCAAAGTCACAGGCCGAGACTCTTGCTCTTTTTTTGCAGCCCAGCCCATTCATTTATTTATTATTTGTTTATTTACAGTCTCCCTAAGTGACCCAGCAGGGGCTTGCACTTATGTCCTCCTGCCTCAGCCTCCCTCGGGGCTGGGATGACAGGCACAGCCAGCTTCCGGGTCTCCTTTTCGGCATCTGAGGTGAAGGGAGTGCTGGTCCCCTGAGCTGACTGCTCGCCGTCACATACACACGGAACACCACACGGTCCCCCAGAAAGACCTGCAAATGACAAAGGAAACGTCTCCTTGCTCCCTTGTCCCACTTGCTCAGTCAGATCGGCCCTGTGGTGCTGTGTGTCCCCCGCCCACGCCACGGCTGCCCCTACCCTGATGCCCCCGGAGCACCACATGGGGACATGAAAAACCCACCCCGTCAGCACGGGCGCAGCCTGGTGCGGGCTCTGAGGATCTGCCTGGGTTACCATGGCGCACAGCTAAGGGTGAGAGAGGGACCGAGGGCGGAAGTGGCAGGTTTCCGGCTACCGTGATGGGTCCTGCTGAGTGTCCTGCTCAGCCTGACCCACGTGCAGTCCCTGGGTCCCTAAAAGCCAGGTCATCCTCTCAGCCTGGGAGTGGGCAAGAACTCACTTTGATGTCTGCAACTCCTCAGACAAGCAAAGAGTTCACGTTGGATTTTCATAGGAAACTGGAAATAAGGACATTGGGATATGAAGAAAAGAGCACCCGCTTCAGATCCCTTTTCATTGTTCTAAACACTCAAACGCCCAAACAGGCAGATAAGTAAAGCTTCGTGGGAAAGCTTCAGCCACAGCGATACAGTTGTCGGGGAGTTTTCACTCTCTGGTACCCACAAGGAAAGCACTTTAAGAGCAAAGACAAATCTGGTGATACCAGTGACTGCTGAGTCACGCAGTGGCGCGGTAGTCACCAAAGCCCATACGTGCAGTGCCCGAGGCAGCGCGATGACTGGCCGTAAGCGGCTATATTTAGATGACTTCCCGGCCCGGCCCACTCCCAGACCTGGCCACGGACGCTGCGGCTTCCCATGCCGTCATTTTCGTCTATCGGGGCCTTGTTCCCTCATGATCTGAGGTCCCTCCCTTTTCCCAGGCTCCGTGGAAGCCACTGTGTCGGGCCTCAGCTGAGCCCTGCCGACGGGGCCGGGGCCGGGGCCGGCCACCAGACCCGGGCGGCACTGCCCTGCGAGGCTATGACTGCGGCGACAGAGCTGTGTGGTCCGGCTGGCTGCGGCTCAGCTGCAGATGCCACCCAGGCACTGGGCCATAAGGGCTCCGAGGTTCCCCAAAGTCTGCGTGTCCTTCCCCTACCGGCAGCCAACCTACTTTTAGGCGGTGCGGACAGGGGAGGGGGGTGCTGGGGTGGAGGAGGAGAAAGAAACCCAGCAGGGGCGGAGACTCCCCGGGGAGCCTGGTGTCCAGCGCTGGCACTGGGTCGATCGTGACTAAAGACACCCACAGCCCCCAAAACATCACCTTTCCTAAACTCCCAGGCTGCCTGTGACTGTCACACTGGCCCAAAGAAAGCAGCTCTGCGCCTCACACCCCTCGGGTGTCTGCTACCAGAAGCCAGAAAAGCACAAGCGTGGGTGAGGGTGGGAGCGGTGGGGCCCTTGTGCGTTGCTGGTGGGACTGCAGAGCAGCGCAGCCACCATGGGAAACAGCATGGGAGGCCCCGAAGCAGGAAGTGTCGAATTACCTTGCGCTGTTCCCACAAGGGATATAGCTCAGGGGCACAAGAGCCTGCCTGGCAAGTGCAACGTCCTGAGTTCGATTCCCAGTACCAAATTTAAAAAGTAAAAAAATAAATAAAAACAAATTACCGTGTGCTGCAGCAGTTCCACTCTCGGGTGTAGACTTGGAGAACTGAAAGCAGAGGCTCTACCAGGGGGAGCCGCACCCGCACGTTCACCGACCTGTTATCCACGGCAGCCAAAGGTCTGCTGGTGGACGAATGGATGAAAAATGTGTTCTCTGCAAACAGCGAAACATTATTCAGTCTTGAAAGGAGGAAATTCTGACACCCGCTCCAGCGTGGATTCAGGCAAATGCAAAACATAGAAAAGGACAAGCGCCGTGGGGTCCACAGAAGGGCGGTGTGTGGAGCAGTGGGGCTTGGGGAGACAGGAGGTAGAATGTGCGTGGCTGGGGGCTGGGGAAGGCAGGGGGAGAGGAGGGCTGGTGTTTTACGGGGACAGAGCTTCAGCTAGGGAACAGGAGGAGTTCTGGAGGGGAGGGAGTGTCCTTAAGGCCGCAGAACTGTGTGTGCTCTAAGGCTGGTTTAGATGGACGGCTTCCTTGGATACATTCTGCCACAATTAAAAACATGAAAAAGGCGACCTTCACATCAGTGCAAGCCAGTGGGCTCCTCAGGTGCAGGACGCCACCCCCACTTCAGGCGGGGGCCTGGTTCTCTGGCCGGCGCTCGCGGGACCAAGTGGGTAAGCACCGGCTTGTGCAGTGCATGTGGGCCTTGCACACGCAGGCCTTGCCGTGCTGGTTCACATTTCCTTTTCGTGGTTCACATTTCCTTTTCGTGCTGTGTGTATAACCTCGGGGAACATCGCTTGTCCTCGGGCAGTGATGCCCCTCAAAGCAAAGTGCGGCGCACTCACGTTCCCGGGAGGTTTAAGTCAGCGGATGTTCCTGCCGCGTGGAAGCTCACGCTCAGACATAAGGCCGCTCCTTCAAGGAGGCCGTGTGCACACCCACTGCGCTCAGCGCTCTCACACCGGGGCGCTGGCATTGGAAGGAGCAGGGTGCTTCCACTTCAGGAGGAAACACCGAGAAGCGAGTCTTCACGACTGAGCCGCTGGCAGTGGGAAAGACCAAAAAGAGATGCCCTCCTGGCCCACTGCCCGCTGCCCATTCCCACACACGCGAGGACTCTGTCCCGGGCCCGGATGGAGGCGGCCAGGGCGAGGGGCCGACGCTCAGTGGACCCGGGAAACGAACTCCGCCGCGCATCCGTGCGCAGCTCCCCGCGGCCGCCCTGGCTGGGTCTGCAGGTCCAGAGTCCGGCGTCCAGCTCACAGAGCACCCAGGTCCTGAGCTGGTGTGTCAAGGACACACTGAGCGGACCAGACACACACAACGCGGCGCTCCGCTCACTGCTGTAAAATGCAAAGTCACAGACCGTTCTTTCTGAGAAGTTCCACAAGCGTTGAAGATCACCAGTACCCCCAGTACCGGGTATAGCGACGGTTCACACATGTCGTTCGTGAACAAGGACATTATAAAATGTTTTAAAAGGTCTGGGCTGCTTTTGTGAGCTCTGAGCTATTGGGAAATTCGGCTTGCTATCTGGGGACAAAAAAATTCATACTCTAAAAAAGTGGAATTTTTATTTGTAGCTTCTACTGTCCTTCACTCTGGCCTCACTGCTTCCCGGGGAATTCTTTTCATTGCTCAATTATGGTTTCTTTGGGACTTGTGGGAAAACTGCACTGCATAGAAACCCGGGCTGCAGACCCCAGGCCTCCTGGCCTCGCCCTCCCGACGAGCTCGCGTTGGCCACCAGAGGGCAGTGTTGTCCTTCTCTAGCCGCGCCGCTCCGGCTCTGCGGGCTCCAGGGCCTTTGCAGCTGCATGGAGCACGGCGCACTGCGTTATTATTTTTTGATTCAGAAAGCGCCATTCCTGAGCACAGCCCTCCGCCCCTGCCCCGCCAGCTGCTCAGAGGAGCGCTCAGAGATAATCGCAGCGAGGACAGCAGGCCCTGCGAGGCGTGGGGCCGGAGGAAACCCGGAGGATCAGGCTGGACAGGCCAGGCTCCGCATCAAGGGACCTGGGTCCGCAGCAAGCACAGAAAACTGGCTGTCCCGCGGGGCGCAGACACGAATGTGTTCCCACAGGAGACAGCGGGAAGCGCAGCTTTGGACTTCAGCAATCAAAACAATCTCTGCTGGCCAAGGCCTTCTGAGCCAGAACTAGTGCTTGTTCTGGGTCCAGCCCTGCGGCCTCCTGGTCGGTGGGGAGCAACACTTGATCCCCATTGTTCAGGGAACCGGTGCAAAAGAACTGAGGTGGCCAGAGGCAGGGAACCCCAGGTCCTGAGACCCCAGCAGGGCAGGGGTCCCAGTGGAGCCCTTTTAAGGACGGTGGAAAGGCGCGGGCCTTGGGAGAGGCAGCAGGTCCGGCAGGTGGAGGGGTGGGCTGGCGAGTGACCGCGCACGGCCAAGTCGGGGCAGTGCCACAGCTTCCCGGGTGCGGGGACGTCGGAGACAGTGATCGCGACCCAAGCCAGAAAGACGGGGCCACACCAGACCTCTCTCCCGTCCCAGCGCACCCTGTTCCTGGGCGCATTTTCTTCCAAGCCCTCCACATTCCCCAGACAGGCTGCCACAGGGCTGATTTTATTTTAAGCCGTTCTCACGGCCAGGCAGCAAAGGCGGCATCAGCGCCAAGACTTTCCGGATGGAGCAGCGGAGGTCGAGGCTCAAGGTGACTCTGTGTTGGCAAGCCGGGGGCTGGAGCGCAGCCCCAGGGAGAGCCCGGGCAGGGCTGCAAGGGTGGGAGCCGCCTTCACCCCCGGGGTCCTGCTGGCAGCGGGGAGGAGCCCTGCGCGGGTGCCGCGGCCAGGCCTGGGCCCCACGCTGGGCCGCGAGGCTCTGCGTCTCACCCTGGGCGCGCAGGGCAGAGCGAGGCTGGAGGAGCCTCGGCCCGGCGGGGTTGGGACGCGGTCCTGTCCAGGGCCACCGCAGCGTGGGTTACAGAAAGGACAGATCCTGACCGAAAGTGCGAGTCTGATACCCCCGAAGGGGCCTGTTGCCTTCCTTTAGTATTACTTAAACAAGATGAGCGCTTTGGTTCAAAGAGGAAATATCTTTCTGCTAAAAAACTGCAGCCCGGAAACGATCCCAAGAACGGCGACAGCAGAGCAAGGCACTAGCACGTTGTGTCCAGGGCAGGGAGCAGGGGAGGAGGGAGAGACAGCGCCGGAGAGGGGCGGTGGCCAGGCCACGAGACCGCTCCGCAGTGACAGAGGCCAGCGAGGCCCCCAGCCCCCTTGGAAAACGTAAAGCCAAGATGGGAATGGCAGAGAAAATTCCCGAGGGATCTGTCTGCAGCTAGCGTGTCGGCCTTGGGGAAAGGATGGATCAGACGGAAGGCAAGGTGGGGGAAGGAGAGCAAATAAAGAACAAAGGGAAGGCGCCGTGGGTAGGGAGCCGCGGTGTGTGTGGCTGAGCTGGCGTTTCCGTGGTGGGCCCGGGTTTCGGTTGTGTAACAGCCGCCTAATGTCATCTCTCAACAATGAGGCCCCAGCAAGGGCACGCCAGCCTATTTTTGTCTCACACATTCGTGGACTGTGTTCAAAAGCTCCGCGGTGCCAAGTTAACGTGGAGACAGGTTTGAGTCACAGCCACCTGGCTGGCGGCCGTGGGTGGACCGGGCAGGGCTGGGTGGGGCGGCTGGGCGGGGGTCCCACGTTGCTCGCGGATCTCAGGCTTCTCGGGGAATGACTGTCCCTTGGCCGCGGTGCTAACCCCGCCGGCTGGACGCTCGCGTTGGCCTCCGGCACTCCCGCCAGGCCTCTGGCTGCTGCCGTCTCAGCAGCGTAGGAGGTGGGGTCCGATGTGGTCAGGGGGCGGCCGATCTCCCACGAAGCCAACATCCTCCATAAGAGGGAATCTCTCTGATCAGTCGTTTGGAAAGTTTTAAAAAACACTTAAATACCTCCATTGCTTCCTGAGCCCTGTTCTAGAAGTGTGTGGCATGCTGTAAGCCTGCCTTTTTAAGATTCCTATTTCAACTTTTTAAGCTTCTCATAATCCAGGGAAGTGAATGCCGTGATTCCTATTCTGCGGATGTGGAGAGCGAGGCCCCGAGCAATCTCAGGACTGCTGAAGGTCCCAGCTGGTGGTGGCAGAGTCAGGAGCAGATGTCAAGTGTCTGATTCAGAACCCTGAGTATTTCTTCCTTATCTCCATTTCTTTTTGAAAGTAGCCTTATGGCTATTGTCAAATAAATTACTAAAAGGACCTCCAATGCCAGCATCCAGGGGTTGCCAGGGACATTTTAATGAACATCCGTCATGAAATCTCGCTCCTGCACTAACTTGAGGATGAGCTTGTCAAGACCCTGGTGATTCTTACTTGAAAATTGATTGATACACCTTTAATTGAGCTGAAGCAGGTGCCTTTGGAACTTCAGATTTGTTGAGGGTTTCTGCAAAGGATGCACCCTTGGGGCCTCAGAATTCTCCCACTTTATGGTACCTGGCATCTGCCCCTCTGCAGCAGTCAGTGAAGGCGTTGGTCCCCGTTCCTGTACCCCCAGGAACCCTCTTCTTGCCAGCTCTGAAAGCCCTGATGTCCAGTTGATTGGTGCCCAGATGGGCAGGTTACACTTTCTGCCTCTAGGGGGCAGGACTCCGCAGCCCTGGCGGCGATGGGCAGAGGCATCGGTCTTCCTCCTTCTTCCTGTCTGTGGGACAACAGACGCCCGCGCATTTCCTTCTGGTCAGCTGCGAGCACTCACAGCTGGCCAGGCTCAGACTCCTGCCAGGCTGGGGACACGATCTTAGCCCATTTTCTGTGTGAGGAGATGGGGGTGAGCTGGCCAGTCACACACAACAGGGAGCTGCTGGGATTTGAACTGGCAGCTCTCGGGCTTCAGAGCTCGAGGCTGTCGTACTCCAGCTCCCTCTGTCACATTCCCAGCACACACGAGATGTTCTGTGTGACAGGAGCCTATAGAAAGCACC